GCTCTGAGTGCTGACTGTGGCCAAAGAGACTCGTATCCTTTCCAGTAAGAGTTTGGGATTTGAGGACAAGGGTTATGTGACTTCATACAACTGGTATTTTTCTCAGCAAGCTCCTTGAACTGTGGTCCTGGAGGGGCTGCCTTCGTAAGGGTGTGTTTGGGAAAACCCTGTAGGGAGGGATGTTTTGCTGGTACAGCTTGGAGAAGGAAACTGCTTTGAGGAGCAAAGCAAATGAAGAATCTAAGCCAACCCCTATTCCCACCCCTGCAACCCCTACCACAGGGTGTGGTAGAGCCCAGCTTGGTGAGGATAGGAGGTCAGGCTTCATATATCCAGTGGGGACACCACACCTAATGTTCAGCTGCTCCTCAGAAGTCACTGCCCCCCTGGGATAAAGTATCTAGGTAATGTACGTGATATGGCTCTGGAGGTGGGGACACAGCAAAAATGTTTATTCTTCAAAGCTTCCCTCTTGACAGCTAGGAAGAGGATGGTGCAGGAGGGAGCCCCAGCCATGACTCACAGTTAATCCCTGGCAAATCTATCACCATGGAAACTGCCAATCATGTATGACTTTCATAACTTAACTGAACATCTCCCAGGGGAAAACAAGTGGTTTGAATCAATTTCCCTGCTTCCATGTTTACTTTGCCCCCCCTCCTCAGTAAACAGCCAGGGGAGGCTCCACTCCAAAGCAGTGGGAGGTCCTGCTCTGCTTCCTAGCTGTCTGTATGATGTCCTTCCCAATCTTTTCTGTGCCCCTCCTTTCCCAGTTGGGAAAACAAAACAAAACCCCCAAAAACCCAAAAAACAAAAAACCCAAACAAACAAACAAACGAACAAAACCCTCACATCAAAGGTTCACAGGCTGCTGGTGAGGAGCAAGAGGCTCACCTGGCCTCGAAGACGGAAGGAAGGAGCCCACGTGGACGGACACTCTACTCAATGCTATAATTTTAACACATGGACTGTTACAAAATGACACTTTCATAAAGCACAGAAAATAAATCTGTGTGTTTGTGTGAGCATATATATGTGTTGGGGGTGGATATTTGTTCATGGGGGAGGGCGTCCTGTCTCGTGTGTTTCAGTGAATAGAACCCATGACATCAGGGGACGGCTCACTGTGGAAAGTGCTTGTCAAACAAGCCTGATGTCATGGGTTCTATTCACTGAAACACACATAAAAGCCAGACACAGGAGTGTGAACATCTACAGTCCCAGTGAGGTGACACGAGACAGGAGTGGAGGCAGGAGAATGTCCTGAAGCCAGCTAACCTCTTTTATGCAGAGACCTTGTCTCAAACAAGGTGGAAAGGTGAGGACATTCTAAGGTGTCCTCTGCCTGCCCGCCCGCCACGTGTGTCATGGTACATGTTCACCCACGCCCTCCCCCTGTCTCGAAAAACAAAAAAAGAAGAAGAAGAAGAAGAAGGAGGAGAAGAGGAGGAGGAGGAGGAAGAGGAGGAGGAGGAGGAGGAAGAGGAGGAAGAGGAGGGAGAAGAAGAAGAAAGAGCATGAGCAGCCACTGGGAGGCATGCATCCTGCTGGCCTTTCTGGTCCAGGGTCTTCACCTGGGGGGTACTCAGGGAGACTCAGCTGGAGCCCTATGACTGCGTACTTGTTAGTACTGGGGAGGGGTGGGGCAGGAGGGGCCGGTAGGCAGGTTCAGATAGCAATCGTTTTTCTTTTCATTTCTTCCCTTTTCCCTCATTCTTTTTCTGTCCATTCAACAGGAAGCTGACTTAGATTTGATTGACAGCTTTGAAAGAGATGTGCAGAGAGTTCTCCTGACTACTGATTGAGCTTGTTTCTCCACAGCTTGGGCCCTTATGTTTCACAGACTCAGAGAAGTGGACAAAATGGCTGGTGACAGCATGGGGGACCAGAATGGGATCTACATAATTTGTGGGACCCAACCAAATAAAATTACAGGAAAATCCCTTATTCAAAATGGATGATGAATTGTATCCAAAGCAAAGCACTACACTAGGGGAGAGAGCTGGTGTGAATGCGCTGGTGTGAATGCGCTGGTGTGAATGCACTGCAAGATGCATGCAGATGAAGCAGATGGGCCTGGGCATCTCCCCATTCCATTCTCATACAAGACTGGCCCTAGGGTTGGGAGTAGGAAAAGATAGGCTCATAAGCTCTGGAACACTGAGGACATGGACCCTCTCCCTGGCAATATGGTAGGGACCCAGAGGACTCAGAAAAGGAGGGTCTGGGAAATGCTTAGATTCTAAGCATAGAGTTCTCACATTCAGCAGGTTTCTGGTCTCCCAATTCAGCCTAAAGGAAGGCCCTGCAGATAGGACATGGGAGGGCCTGGCTTTGTACCAGACGCCCGACAGTATGACCACTTATCGTGTCTTGGTGTTGGGTAAGAGCCCAAAAAGCTGCAACAGTGGAAGCATAGCAGCATCAGGTAGTGACATCCAGAATGATTGACGTTAGCTTTGAGTCATCCCAGTGGGGTAGAATCTTAAGAGTCGGAGATCAACTCTTCTCATTTTATAAACATGAAGGAGACATATTGTTCCAGTCAACTGATTGTGCAGATGAGGATCCTACTACTCAGCCCTAGTTTCAGGCTCATTTCCAAGGTCGGGGAAGGGGAAGGGGTGGGCAATGATGTAACAGAGCGGTCAGGTGGTAGACATGAAGGGCAGGGAAGAGAATCCAGTGCTATTTGGAAGGTAACCTTGTCGGAAGGGACTTGGAGAGTTCCAGAAAGGGGGTGGGCGGAGTCAGAGAAAGTGGGCGGGGTCAGGAGAAGGTGAGGAGTCAGGAGTTAGTCCCTACTGTTGGATGTCATCCCTGAGAACAGGAGAGCAAGAGAAGAGTCAGTTGGAGGAAGGCAGAAAGGGTTTGGCTCTGAAGTCATTGAATCTGAAGTGTGCCAGTTGTCAAACAGGCCACTGAAGAAACTATGTGCTGAGGAGAAGCCTGGGCTATCGGGGTGGATGCGGGAGCCGGCAGCTCCCCGGGTGATAATTAGAGGAGGGAATTGGAAGAGATTAAGAAGAGGACAGGGCTGGGGAGATGGCACAGCTGGTCAAGCGCTTGCTGTGCAGGCATGATGACCTGATCTGAGCTGCATCTCTAGAACCAAGGGATAAAGCCTGGTATGGTGGCGTGGGCTTGTAATCCAGTACAGGAGAGTCAGAGGCAAGTGGGACCTGGGAGCTCCCTGGCCAGCCAGCTTAGCCAACTTGGCAAGTTCTAAACTGCCGAGAGACCATGTCTCAAAAAACATGGAGACTGGAATCTGTGGAATGATACCTGAGGTTGTCTTCCAGCCTTCACACAGTGCGCGCGCGCGAGCGCACACACACACACACACACACACACACACACACACACACGAGGAAAAGAGAACAGGCAAGCAAGCAGGCAGGTGAGAACTGCAGGAAGGGAAGGCTTTGGTGGTATGACGGGCATTCAGAAGGAAGGGGAAGCTGTGGCCGCTGAGAGGTCAAATAAAGCAGGAAACGCTCACTGCTTAGTAGTGAGGTCAGTAGGATGTCACTGATGACCTTGGAAGGATCCAGTTCATTTGGGGCGATGCTCTGAGTTCCGGAAGGGGAGTGCAGTAGAGATGAGCAGACATGGAAAATGCAGACAGGGGGCCATCTTACCTGGGGAGGAAGAAGAGCAAGGGGGCCTTTACCAGAGAAGAGTGTGGGGTTGGCGCAGGATGGTAATATGTGTTTCCTTCTGATTAGCAGCTTTCTTTGAGCATAACTCAGATTCAGTGAGCTGCACAACACCCACATAGCCGCCAGCATAATCCAGAATGTACTGTCCATCTGAAGTGTCCTCCTGCCCCTCTGTAGCCCTTCCTCTAACCCCTTCACCCCTGTCTCTGAGCATCTGCCCACTCTCTGCAAGCTAAAGCTTGTTTCTTCTAGAATGGTATAGAAATGGCGTTTATGTGATTTTTACTTTTTTTTCTAACTTTTTGTATCTTTTTTTGTCTGTCTTACTCAGCATAATTATTTTGAGGCTCATATACATTTGCTGTGTATATCAATAATTTCTTCCTTTTATGCTGTTCTTCTCTTTGTGTGGCTGAACCACAATTTATCTACTGACCTGTTGATACCCATCAAACTATTTCCATTTGAGGACTGTACAAATTAAGCTGCTTTGGATATTTTAAGTATTTGTTTTTATTTTTAGTGTGTGTGTGTGTGTGTGTGTGTGTGTAGTACACTGTCTATGGAGGTCAGAAAAGGGAGTCTGATTCTCTGGAATTGGGGTTACAGGCAGTTGTGGGCCATGTAGAAGCTAGAGCTGGGCACCAAACTCTCAGCTTTTGCAAGTACGGTAGGTTCCCTTGACCGTGGAGCCGTCACTCCAGCCCAAGTTAAGCTGCTTTGAATTTTCACATATAAGCCTTCACACAAGTTCATGCTTCCAGATAATTAGGGATGGGATAGCTGGGTATTTAGAATTTTTAAGAAACTGTTCAAAGTTTTCTAAAGCGGTGTGACCATTTCACGTTCCCCTCGGTAGAACGGGTGCTTTGAATGTCTCCACAGCCCTCCAACACTTGTATGAGAGTCTCATTCACGTAGACATTCCAGTAGCTTCTCCTTTTCCCACTCTTTGTGTATGTGGAGGAAGGGTGACAAGAAAGGACACGACACACGTAGGAAGCGGAGGATAGGAGACAGCTGACTCCAGATCAGCAACAGAGATACGATTCTGGTCGGCGCCCGGGAAACAGCCCTGCCTTAAGCATTTCCCATGAGCTACCTGTCATATGTTAGCTTCTTGTCTTCTCAGCCAGGGACCCACATGTGAAGCAAGAGCCCCACAGTCTCCTTCAGAAATTATGAGCAAGTAAAACCATTGTTAAAAGGATGGATTTTTAGTCAGACCCAAGGCCATCACCAAAGTCAGCTTCAGACCCCAGAGCACATGAAGGCCAACTGTGATGTTGAACTCAGGAATCCAGCATTTATATCCCTAAGGCAACCCAGAGTACCTACCTGTAGCTGCCGGGAAGAACACCCCAAACACAGTGAAGAATGACTCCCCGGGGCTGTAGTCTGGCAGAATGTTGCTCTGTAGCAGTTCTGGGGAGTATCCAACAAAGCCATGTTCTGTAATGACACAAATGAGAGTGCCCAAGGGGACAGCATTGTTTATAGCATGGGTTCTTTCTTTTTGAGACAATGACATACTGTAGCCCAGGCTGGCCTGGAACTTATTGTATAGTCTAGGCTTGTCTCAAATGTACTGTGATTCTCCTGCTTCAGCCTCCTGAGTTGCTGTAATTATAGGCATGCATACATCATCATGTGCAGGTATATAATACTGAACATTCAAAGGCAGTGTGTGTGTCTGTGTGTCTGTCTCTGTGTGTGTGTGTGTGTGTGTGTGTACATGCCAGTGAAAGAGGAGAGAGAGAGAGAGAGAGAGAGACTTGGAAGTCTGACTTGTGTGTGTCTGTATCTTTGGCTATACAGGAAACCACATGGAGAACAGTGGTTAGCTCGGGGGAGGGAGACTTTTTCTCTTTGCTTTATAGATTTCAGGATGGCTACCGGGTCTTTTCAGTGATGGTCTATTTTTTTCTTTTTATGTGATTGCTTTCTGTAAAAAAAACAAATTGGTTTTGCAAATAACTTTAAAACCTGCTTAAAAACCTCCATGGGTCCCTGGGAGCTAAAGAATAAAGCCAAAACTCCTTAAGTTAAACATCAAAACTCCCCACAACCTGGCAACAGTCTGCCATGACACCTTCACCCTTTGTCCCCAGCCCCTGCCCCTGCCCCCAGAGGACAACAAACACCCATTCTACCCCATCCTATGCCTTTGCTGGGGTCATGTTCCCTGCTGTGTTCCCCACTCTCTGAGCCATCAATAGTGTGCTCACTTTTTTCTTTTATTCTCCCCTCCCCCCAGGGCCTTGTGCAGCTAATCACTCTATTAGACATCTCTACCCCTGGTTTTATTTTTAGTTTTGAGACAGGATTACTCTAAATTGCTCAGGCTGGCCCTAATCTCATTCTGTAGCCCAGGCTGGTCTGAAACTGTCAGTCCTGTTGTCTCAACCACTCAAGTGGCCAGCATCACAGGCCTGCACCACCAGGCCTGACCTGTATTCATTCTTTAAGCTCAGACAGGGGCTTCCTTCATCTGTCCTGATGAGGACTGAGTCTCCCCCTCATTGTTCTTGCTGTTTTATGCTCTGGCTGTTTTATTGGCCTTCAGAGATGGCTCAGCAGTTAAGAGCTATAGCTACTCTTCCAAAGGACCTGAGTTTAATTCCTAGTTCCATGTTCTAGCTCCCACATGGCAGCTCACAGCTGTCTGTAACTACAGTCCCAGGGGATCCAATGCCCTCTTCTGACCCCCAGGGGCACCGTATGATATGTTCCACAGATATCCATTCAGGCAAAACAACTATACACATTAAAAAAAAAGACGTTTTTTAAAAAGACTAGCCACTTTAGGTCTCTATGGAACACCACATTTTTTCTTTTGTTGTTTGTTTTGTCTTGTAGTATCCAACCTATAGATAGTAAAGGCCAGAAGAACAATCTGTCAACTGAGCTATGTCCCCAGCCTCTACCACAGTCCTTGTTTTAAAACTGCTTATTTTAATTTTATTTATGTGAATATATGTGTGTGTTCACATGGAGTTCAAACAAGAACATAGGATCCCCTGAAGCTAGAGCTGCCTGATGTGGGGTACCGGGAACCGAACTCAGATCCTCTGTGACACTAAGTACTCATTCCTCATCACGGAGCCATCTCTCCTGCTCCTCACCTACAGTTCTTGAGGTGAGAAATCCACTGCAGCACACCTCCACTCTACCTGGCCCAGAATAGGTAGACCACACAGTAAAATGTTAGATCACCAAACAGACCTCACAATAAAATGAACCCTCTCTTAGATCTCATGGGTACATCCCCTTCTCTGGCCTCCTGCTACACTCATTCACAAGATACTTTGTTACAAGAACATCTGAGGTCTAACTTCTTTGAAGTATTCTAAATATGTTTGTACATCTACCTCAACAACATCTGTCAAGTGCCTTCAATCCATTCTGCTTCTTTGTCAAAAGACATCACTTTGAACAGCATATGCGAATATACAAGAAGGCCTTGGAACGCAAGTAAAACATTCTTGGCTCAGGGACACCCCGAATATTCAGCTTTGCCTTTCGGTCTTGTCCCCTAGAACTAGCTAGCTTGTGTCACCTCACCCCTCACTGCCACTGCACACCACAGTACCCCAGAGTTTGAGGACAGAGCCCACCGAAGCTGCAGGCCTTGTCCACACCACCCGCCATCTATCGAGACCTCCCCTCCACAAAGGGAGTTCCCTCGGCTCTGATGGCTCCCAGGAGGCTATGCACTTCCTCAGCTTCCAGGAGTCAGAACTTCACAGGAAACATATTCTTCAAGAAAATAATGAAGCTTCAAGAAGCACAGGGAGCCGTGGGGAGTCCGGTCCACACTTTCAAATCATTGTCAATTGCTTTCTCTTGGCTGAATACAGACTCTGTTCTGGCATATTAAATCCCAAGCACCGGCTTTCTGAATGGCTTGGCTTCCTTGCAGCTGGTCCTCCCCTCTTCAACAAAAAGCAATAACAAGCTAAGTTAACTTTAGCTTACCCGCTGGCTGACCCCACAGACTAGTCTTCCTGAGGAGAAAACCAGTGCAGCCTCCCTTGGAGCTCAGCTCAGCCAGGCCAGGATGACGTACATCGGAGCCAGGGCTGTGCACCCCGGGCAGGCCAGCCCACAGCACATAAACACCTCACCCCACGCTGTTCCTCTCCACAGCCTCCAAGGAGGTCTTAGAACTCGGAGGGTTTTGATTCCCCTGGCCTGAGAGCTTTGTCTGGTTAGCCTGTAGGCTCATAGGCACTTTAGTCCCTTAATGATTGCTTAGTGGGGTCGATTCGGAAGCCTTCTCTACCTCTTCCCCTCACACCTACAGGCTGAGAGAACTGGGCAAGGCAGAGGCCTCAAGGTTGCCTCATACGGAGCCAATGAGAAAAGCAGCTCTGATATGTCCATGGGCACATGCTCACAGTGGTATAGAAGCACATACTAACACACATCTTCCCAGCAGAGACACTGACACACCCACAAGCATACATAACACCTGAGCACATACATACACTGACACATAGACACACACTCATACCTATACACAAGGATATTTCACAAGCAAACATCCACATTGTCCCGTTCACAAATACACTTATGTGTGCACAGGAGCATGTGTGGGCCCACTCATACCAACATACTCACACTGACACATCCGCAAACACATTCACTGGCACACACAATCCTGCTACCCTGACCCTCTGCCCTGGGATAAGTCTAACTCTTAGCCTTTCTCAGAGAGATAATCTTAACCTTGAAAAGAACCTGTTGACAAAGACAATGAATGCTTTCTTGCAATCGTGTAAATTTGGGGAAAGATATAAGTCTCTAACTATGGAGAACTGAGATATTTTAGATGTCAGTGACGATGTCTGAAGCTAGACCTGGAGGCACCGACATGTAACCCCAGCCACTCAGGAGGCTGAGAATTTTGATTGACAGGAGGAGAATGGGGCCGAGGCATAGCTCAGAGTTTCACTCTTGCCCAGCACACATGAGGACCAGTATCATAGTGAACCACCATAGTACTTAGTAGCGTAGAAAACTGACATGCAATAGTGCTAACACCCAATTAAAAAAAAACAAAACTTCCAATGTTATAAATACTAAAAATACTTACACATCTCCCTGTCTGTCCCTCCTCCCTCCTTGAGATTTCTCTATCTCTCCCTGTCTGTCCCTCCTCCCTCCTTGAGATCTGTCTCTCCCTCCTTGTCTCCCTCTCTTTCCCCATCTGTCTTTTCCCTCCCAAGATAGATTTGATTGTGTAGCTCGGGTTGGCCTGGAATTCCTGACACACCTCTCCACCTCCCCAGTGCTCAGGTTACTGGCATCCACCATCAGACCCAGCAATTCTTCTCCTTCAAAAATTCCCTATAAAATCCCCACAGTTAAAAAAAAATGAAGGTAATCGACTTATTATGAAAAAATTGTATCTTTTGGGATCCCACGGGAAGGCCGAGTGTCTGCAGGGACATCCCAAATGTACTACCTTCTTTCTTTTATTTTTCCGTGTGTATACTTGTCCTGCTTCCTAGAATGATTGGAGTAGTTTATGAGAAAGTCATAAGCAAGAGAGAACAAGGAACATTTAAGTAGGGGAGGAAGCTTCACCCAAGACACAGCCAGAAGGGTTCAGTGAGGCCTTGAAGCGAAATCTGTGGCTGTGTCCATCAGACTAGAATTTGAGGCCCAAGGAGCTAATCTATGATTGTTTTGACCAAGCTCACAGAGACAGGGCATTGGGCCTGATGGCTTGGCCCCATATAGGCCATTTTCTCTCAGATGAAAAGGAGTGTCTGAGACTGGTCTCAATTCACAGACAGACAGACAGACAGACACACACACACACACACACACACACACACACACTCGTCTCCCTAGCCTGTTGACTCTTGCCCGTTCTGATTACCTCCCCTCCCCTCAGGATTACAAGTCCTGGGACAGCTCACACTGAGGCTTGCCACTTTGCCTCCCACACAGAGAGGTTCTCTTCAGTTCCAGAAACCAGTGTTTCCCTCAGGCTTCATCTGGGAAAGGCAGGCAAGACCGGGGAAACACCACAGGTCAGAGGCACCAGGTAGGGCTGATAGAGGCACAGCTGGGAGGATGGCCAGCCCTGTTGTGATTCCAGGTCTGTCTGCATTCAAAGTTCCCCACACACTCTGTTTGGGGGTTCTGTTTTGCAGGACTAGGGTGCTAGGTAAGTGCCCTAACCTTGAGTTACACTCCTGCAGCCAGAATGGCAACTGCTTGCTGTACAAACTGGGTCCTGTCGGCTGCCATCTCCAATCCTGAAGGGCCTGGGATGCTGAGAGCCTGCAGCTGCTGCCTGTGAATGTGCCTGGGCTTGACCTGAACATCTGCTTCTGTATCCACTGAGTAAAAATACTCCAGGCCCTTCCAAAAACAGAACGGGGGAGGGGTGAGAGAACCAAATCCTCACAGGCCCAGGCAGGAAGAGGCAGAGGATG